GTGCTTATTCTATTGTTGCTAATGAATTATGATACATGGCTCCATGGTATGACACCTGCATGAATCTTGGGCAGGATTAGAAATAAAATTGTATAAGCAAGAATGCATGATGCTTGATTTGCTTACTAGGCTTTATAGCTCATCCCTTTGACCTTCCTCAATGTAGAATTATAGCTCACAGGTGAAGGACGGACGGTTGGGCATTTGCTACTAATGGCTGAAGACTCGCACTCGACGAGGTGACTTCTTTTAATTGTAGGTGTTAGATGGTTGTGGGCCATATAGTTGTTTTATGTTGAAGCTATGTATTTTTGGTATTTGGGCCTTTGGTGCCCTGAACATAATTGTAATGAATTTTGGAGCTTATATATAATTTGGTTTTGATTTGTCCAGTTCCTTGCATGGTTGTGTTTAGAGTTTTCTTTTTCTTTCATGGTTTGTGTTGATTCATTCTTTATAAAGAGTAGAACGCACTCTCATCTAAGTGGCATTCGCTACCTCTAGTCGTGGTCCCGCACCCTGTTGGCCCCGACAAGTACGGCAGGAGGCAAGGTTATGATAATTTATGGTATCAAAGAAGCCAGGTTAGGATTCTTGGCCTAGAGAGTTTTAGAAATGTCTTTAGAATGGCTTTTAGATAGGCTAGTAACTGGGTGTTTCTGTTTTAGGTCAAAATGATAAGGACTCGTGTCAACAATGCACATTCTAGCAATGAGATCACTGAGGAATTCTTCATGACAGTTGAAGCTATGACTCAAACTGATGAAGGATTATATGCCGGCACTGTCTGCCTCCGCCCCAGGCCAAGATGACAGTGGTTTGATTGAGAGGTTTAAGAGACTTGCCCCTCCTGCATTCTTGGGACATGGAGGAGTGGAAAAAACTAAAAAATGGAGGAGGCAAGTAGAAAAGATTTTTGAAATGTTGCATTGTTCTGATGAGTAGAAAGTGAGACTGGGGACCTTTATGTTAGAAGGGGATGCCGAGCACTGGTGGAGTTCAGTGAAGCAATCTTGGGAAGAGACTGAGACTGAGACAACTTGGAAAAGTTTTCTAGCAGCATTTAATGAAAACTACTTCCCTTATTTATTCCGAGAGAGAAAAGAAGTGGAATTTATCGAGTTGCAACAAGGGAAACTGTTAGTGGAATAGTATGCAGTAAAATTCGCAGAGCTCTCTCGTTACGCGCCTCACATCGTCAATATAGAGGCATGCAAGGCCAGCAAGTTTGAAAGGGGCCTTCGGCCAAATATAAGAGGAAAAATAATATCAACTAATCTCAAGATGTTCTCCCCATTAGTGGACCTTGCTATGAAGATTGAGAGGGATTGCAAAGAGTTCTGATTGAGGAAAGAAGGGAAAGTAAGGTCCGCGTCGTCGAGGAATTTCGAGAGGAAGACTTAGTCGTCTCTTAGAAGAGACTTTAGGGGAAGGAG